GAAGTGCAGGACCCCGATATGTTGGGGTGAGGTGGGCCAGAGGGTCATGGGGAGCACCGAAGTGGTGCTCAAGACGACAGAGAGGATTCATCAAGTTAGGAGCAGGCTTCAGACTGCACAGAGTCGGCAGAAGAGTTACGCCGACAAGCGCCGATCGGACCTAGAGTTCCAGGTCGGGGATATGGTCCTCCTGAAGGTGTCGCCATGGAAGGGCGTCATCCGATTCAGGAAGCAGGGCAAGCTGGGCCCCAGGTATATTAGACCCTTCAGGGTTATAGCCCGGGTGGGCAAGGTGGCGTATAGGCTGGATCTGCCAGCGTAACTCAGTCAGATCCATAACACTTTCCATGTCTCCCAGCTGCGGAAGTGCTTGGTGGATGACTCGGCGGTGGTACCTCTGGAGGATATTCAGGTGGATGACAGCTTGAACTACATTGAGCGGCCTGTGGCGATCCTCGACCGGAAGTCGAAGGATCTGAGGAACAAGAGGGTCGAGCGTGTGAAGGTGCAATGGAAGCACCGAAAGGGCTCAGAATGGACGTGGGAGCCGGAGGACGAGATGATGGAGCATTACCCAGAGCTTTTTCAGGATCGAGCAGCAGACTTCGAGGACGAAGTCTAAAATAAGTGGGGGAGATTTGTAGCACCCGGTTCCTGGTACGTATTTTCATTCAAGTAATTATAACATTTTGGCCTGGGACTCGGCGAGTTGAAGGTCCAACTCATCGAGTAGAATCGACTTTGGACACGGGAGTTTAGTGACCTACTCGACGAGTCGGGGAACCGACTCGACAAGTAGGCGCTGTTTGGACAAAACCCTAAATCCGAGGGATTGCACCCTATTTAAACGTCTTAATGCAGCCTCCATCGTCCCTTATGCTCCCAAAACACCTCCTACGGAAACCCTAATTGTTTTGTGAGATCTAAGACCATTTTTGGTGATTTTGGTGGTTTGTGATCACAAGGAAGAAGGAAAAGCTTGAGGAGCCAAGAGGAAACCAGAAGATTTCGAGTTTGTGCAACATTACAGTTCCTTAGAGGTATAAAGCTTATACCTTGTTCATTCATGTTCTAGATCCCTTTTTGGAATGAATTAGGGATTTTAGGAACCACGTTTGGTGGCCAATCATGAGTGCAAGCATGGTTGGGGGTTAAGACTCCAGATCCAAGGTCCTTAGGGGACTACATGGAGTAAAGTGGCCAACTTTGTAGCCATAAAGAGCCACATGCACATTTAGACCTCATTTTTGGGTCCATTAAGCTTATACTCCCATGCATGCACGTAAAGTTCGTAACTTTACGTGCTAGATCGATCTTAGAAGCCCAGATCTATCTTTTGGATAAGTGTTGTACATCAGAAATCGAGAAATAAGACTTGGACAACATCGACTCAGCGAGTTATTCTTGGAACTCGGCGAGTCCAGGGCTTGAGTCCCCAGTCTGTTGAGGTTCAAAGGGACCCAGATGAGTATTAGAAGGGTATTAGAGGGGTACAGGGGAGTGACTCAAAATATTAGACTTAACCATGGACCTGGGAATCATAGGACTCGGTGAGTGTATGAACAAACTCGGCGAGTCCAAGGCAATCTCCCAACTTTTGAAGATGAACTCGATGAGTTGTTCATACAACTCGACGAGTTGTGGACTGGACATGTTCATAGGATGAAGGAGAACTCGACGAGTTGTTCATACAACTCGGCGAGCCGGATGAAGATTCATTCGAGGATATTATAGAAGGGAACTCGTCGAGTCTTTGCTAAACTCGACGAGTAGAGTCGGGAGAGGGTCAGATGAAAGGAAAGGGACTCGACGAGTTGGCGGCCCAACTCGACGAGTTAGGTCAACTGGAAGTTGACTTCGACTGAGGCTTTGACCTTGACCAGGGGTAAATTAGTCACTTTACCCAAAGATTGGTTAGCAGTGTTTGACTAAGTGTCTTTATGAGAATTGCAGCCCGGGAGTTACCGGAGCAGCAGTCAGACATTTCCCGATCAGCATTTCAGCAGTCAGCCTTACGAGGTGAGTTATCTTCCAGTAGGGGTGGGTCTACGACACCAATGTCGGTCACCAGTAGATGATTATGTTTGAGATGATTATCTTTGTGATAATTATCTGGTTGATATGATTGTGTTGAGATATGTGCTAGTAGTAGTAGGGCGCACAAGTCCCTAGTTACCGGTTGAAAGATACCGAAGACGGTTACCGGTTGAAAGATACTGAAGGGGTTGACAGAACCTACACATGCATAGTAGTATGTTTATGATATGTTATTGTATGATTCAGTATGCTTATGTTATGATCATGAAACCAATATGTTTATGCTATGGATTATGTGATAGGGATAAGGGGGGAAATAGTCCCCAGATACCGGTTGGAAGATACCGAAGGGGGGGGGGGGGTTAGCTCCCGGGTACTGGTTGGAAGATACCGAAGGGGAGGGTAGCTCCTGGTTACCGGTTGAAAGATACCGAAGGGGAGGATAGTTCCCAGTTACCGGTTGAAAGATATCGAAGGGGAGGGTAGCTCCCGGTTACCGGTTGAAAGATACCGAAGATTCTGTGCTATGGGTATGATGGGGGAACTCACTAAGCTTTGTGCTTACAGTTTTAGTTTTGGTTTCAGGTACCTCTTCGTCTAAGGTAAAGGAGCCGGCGGTGTAGCAGCGCATCGCACACATATATGGTTTCCGCATCGGATTTCTGGGATTGTACTCTGATTTACATTGTTCTTGATTATATGGTTTTGAGACATGACATTATGTTTTTACAAGTAATATGAGATTGATGATGTTTTGGTAAACTGATTGGGATTTAAGTAATTTAAAAACGAAATTTTTGGGCTGTATGGTATGTGGTATGATGGGGGAACTCACTAAGCTTTGTGCTTACGGTTTTCAGTTTTGGTTTCAAGTATCTCTTCAGCGAAGGGGAAGGAGTCGGCGCGGTAGCTGCACATCACACACACACCTGATTTCCGCATTATGAGATTCTTGGGATTGTACTCTGACATTATTAGTATTCCACCTCATGTTTTATGACATTGACTTATGGGATTATGGATTTATATGATATTGATGAGGTTTTTCAGTAAATTGTTTTACAAGTAACATAATTAAAACAAAATTTTTGGCCTTGAAAATTGGAATGTTACATTTAGGGAATACAAATAAACATTTAATCGACTCTGAACATACATTTACTAACAAAACCCTACATTTCAGTTAACAGACTCTGTCCTACTCTCTACTATAATATTCCTTAACTTATGGTTGATATTTTCACAGCAACAATTGAGCATCCATAATAATTTAAAGACACCAGATGTGTATATTGATACAACTTCATTTAGAGACACCGGATGCGTATCTTGCTACAAGATGATTTCCAACGTATAGCTCATTAAGCCAATTTTTATTAGTTTTGTCTATTTGATGAAAACATTGAAACCAAAATTAATAAATTTTTGATTATATGATTCGATATGATGTCAAAAATATTTTTTCCAAATGATTTAAACCACAAAATTCCTTACTCTAATTTTTTGTCACTACTAGAAAAAGGGCTTTCCTTGGCAGACAAATTACGACGGACATCAGCTCTATGACAGACCCAAAAAAGTCTGTCATACTGCATAAAATATCAATGATTTGCACTAGTTAAAAATGTCTGTCATGAATTTATTCGTTAATGTCTAAAAATTAGAAAAAAAAAGACACACAATATGTTTTAATGTCTAAATTAAAATTTTTTATTAGTTAATTTATTTAACAGTGTCACTAAGAAAATATAAATAAATATTTTTCAGTATAACTTGTAGTACCTGAAGTACCCGTCATCTTTTCTTGGTATTATTCTTGATCCCCGGAAATATTTTATATTCATTAAAAAACTAAAATAATTAAAATAATATACTAATTATGAAAAAATCGATAAAAGAAAGTTGTGATTTAACTCACCACATGTGTCTCCAAAATAACATATATGTCTTGATTTGTTTTTTATTTGCCCTCCGTGGTGTTATTTCCTAAAAGCCCTAGTATACCCTGTTCTTTCAAATCGTCAACACCACGAAAATCAAACGAAGAGCAAACATCGATCGATTAGGGTCGATGCGCTCAAAAATTGACTCGTCGAATCGCGACTGCCGGTCTGCCACCACCGGTCACCCCTTGATATCTCCTTCATCGCCGTTTCAGTCATCGTCCACCCTCACCAGATCGTGAAACATTTCATCTCTATTTCCGTCATTTTTCACCAATCGCCGACACGCCACTGGTCACGCCATGGCCTTCGTTGCTTTTACATCGATTCGTGACCGGTGCCCTATATTCACTTCTTTTACTTTGTTTCCTCCGCTATCACTAGCAGGATCGTATCACTCTGTTCTTAATCCACGTTTCTTGAAGCTCGGACAGAGCCTCATCAAACATGGCACAAGGTATATTCTCTCTCTCTAAACTTCATTTGTTCGCATTTCAATCAGGTGCAATTTGAGTACTTGTATTCAATTGATGAATTTGCAAATCAAGACGAGTTTTCATTCCCACACTTTGTAAATTTCACAAGTTTGAGATTTAAATTGTATGAACGTTTGAGTTGTTACTAAATGTTTTACTAAGTGGTGTTGGGAAGATTTTTAAATGTGGATCGAGTGAATCCAGTAGTATCTCGGCCTGTAATGAAGCAATGGATAATTTTTCATCTCTGATTACTCAGAAAACTCATATTGATATGAGCAATAGCAGAGCTAGATTGGAGATACTCCTTAATTTCGTTAATGTGGATATTAGTTACTACTAACACATACTTCGTTTTGGAATATGCAGTTAGTGTTTTTACTTATTAGCTTTCCTGATTTAAGGCAACCTGACATTTGAAATTTCTTACAGATTATGGATTTGGAGTAGTCAATTCAAAGGTGAAGATAATCCATGTGACCGGAATAAGTGACATGGATCCTTAGTTCCTTACAAATGGTCTAAATCAAAATGGAGATGCGTAATGGTACTTCACATGTCAACCTCATATAAAGAAACTAGTTTTATTATTTTATACTTTCATTCTTTAAATTTCAAACACATTTCAACAGGTGAGGTGGGATGAAGATGCTGGTAACAACAATCAAGAACGAATCTCTCCATGAGTGGGATGAAGATGTTGGTAACAGCAATCAAGAAGGAATCTCTCCATGAGAGATTGATCTTTCGGGTGTATCTGTCCCACTTTTAAGCATTCACCCTTCTCTAAGATTCAAAAAACTTCGGTCCTCTGCAACTGACACAGGTCCTCTGCAACATTAAAACCAATATTAAAATTAGTGTAAAATGTTTTAATCATATTTATTATACTATTTGAAGAAGTAGGTTTTTGCAACTAACACAGGTCCTCTGCAACATTCAAGTCTTTACAAAAGTGATGCCTTCTCTTTTTGATCCAAATTTTGAAGACTTTTTTATAAACACTTCAGATGCATATCAAGTCAAATCTCTAAAACTTGAGATCATTTCTTCCATTGCTACAGATGAATCAATCTCAGTTATCTTTCAAGAATTGCAGGTAGTTTTATTAATATATTTTAAAAAAGATTGGATTGAATATATTATTTATTAGCTTTAAAACCATTTATAGGATTATGTGAGAGATCCCGATGGGAGATTATGTTTGAATTACAGCTTTAAAACCATTTATATTATATATATATGAAGGAATGGAATCTGAGAAGTTTTGATGTTTTTATTTTGGTTTGGATGCAGGGTTTGATCACAACAGAGAGAAGTGGTGTTGACCCAGCAGCTTCACCATTTGCAAAATCCATTGGAGAGGTTCAAAGTATTGGACTCCGGGAGGGATCCGATCTCCTTCAAGTGGTACATTACATATCTTTTCTAAAATAACTGCTAAATGCAACGTGCTTCCATTTATGTATTTGTTTATTATAAAATCATGCTTTCATTTCTTTTTTTCTTATCAATGCTCATCTCCTTGAATTGAAGTGATACGTCTCTTTTTTAGTTACATACCTTCTTTTGTTCCTTTATTTTAACATTCTACTTTCATTTTTTAATAACAATGTTGTACTTTCAATTTTTTTGTCTTGTTAATACTCATGTCCTTGAAGTGGTAGGTTTTTAAATTAAGAGAGAGCTAAATTCAAGAAATAAGAATGCACTTTCATTTATCTGTTTACATTAACATCCTACTTTCATTTCTGTTAGTTACAGCATTGTACTTGCTAAACTTTTTCTTATTAAGGCATCTCTATAAACTTGTGCTGTTCTTTTCAATTTCATATGGAGGCCTCAGATTTTGATGTTTTACATTACAGGTCAAAAAGGTCAAACCTCATGTCCTTGTTGGTTTTTCTGGAGTTGGAGACTTGGAGGTATTTTCAATGAGCAGGTGCTTACTTACTTTTTTCACTGTATTTTAATTTTAACCCAACTTTAATGTATGTCTTACTGCTATAACTGTAAGTCTAATCTTTTAAAATCTTACAGAAAGGTCCTTGTAATTGTTTTTTTTTTTATTTTTTATTTTTTTTACAAAATTAATATAAACTTGATTTTTTTCATATGATCAGGTTCGGAAGCTTGTGTTTTGGAGGACTTAGCAAAAGCTATCAATCTGGTGCATATCAGGAGGGATCTTGTGGAAAGTGGTCACGCGTTGCTAAACCATGCTTATCACAATCAACAAGAATACGAAAGGTATGAGGGTGGAACTGGAATCCGTGATCCCGACGGAATTGGAATATGTGATTCCATTCCGATGCCAAATAAACGGAGTTTAATTCTATCTGAATGTGAGAATCATGGATTCCGACAGAATTGGAATCAGTTATTCCGATTCTGTGATTCCGTTGGAATCAGAATCCGTGATTCCATTCCGCTGCCAAATAAACGGAATTTAATTATATCTGAAGGTGGAACCAGAATCAGCGATTACGACAGAATTGGAATCAGTGATTCCAACGGAACCGGAATATGCAATTCCATTCCTCTGCAAAATAAACCGAATTTAATTCTATCAGAATCCTTCAAATTCCATGCTTGGTGAATTATACGGAAGTATACTACGTTCTTTTGATTCCGATTCCAATTTCTGATTCCATTCCTTTTGCAGGACAACAAGCTATTGTCTAGATTTGGCTTTCTGAACAAGAGAAGACGATTATGGAAAAGTGGTTGCCCGAGTTAAGGAATGGAGTTGTGAATTCTCAGAAGAGTCTTGAAGATTGTAAATACGTGTCTGGATTGGTAAGTAAAAACTTTTTTCCTTACAAAAAATTTGAATTTTTTAATATATTTAATTAATAAATGAAATATTTAAATATGAAATTGTGATGTAGTTGGAAGAGTGGTGGGAACAACTGGGATCAACGGTTGTTGATTGGGTGACGGTTGATGGGCAAAATGTGGCGGTTTGGAATAATCATGTGAAACAACTTCTTGCTTTTTATGACAAGGAACTTTTGTGAGTCTGTTTATTTTTATTTAGTTTGTGTATATATTATATTATATATGGTATTCTTGTTATAATATATGGGTGTGTATGTGTTCTTGATTATTTAATGTTTTAGGGAGGGATTTAATGTTAGGTTTAGTTTGTGTATATATTATATTATATATTTAATGTTAGGTTTAGAGGTGTGGGTTGTATTTTACTTGGAATGTGTGAATGTTAGGCTATGTTTTGGTAAAAGAAAAATGTTTCAATTTAAGAGTGTTATTTGTTTTCAGGATTTTATACATCCTTCCAACTCATAAAATTCATTACATTAAGGATTAAATATGTAATTTAGTCTGTTTAATATTTGGTACAAATTTAGAATATATATATATATATATATATATATATATATATATATATATATATATATATATATAACAATGACATACAAAATATGTCGTAAAACTAAAACTATGTCAAAAATCATGACAAGAATGTTACGAATTACGACATACAAAGTCAATTGTAAATGTATGTCGAAAACGTGTGTCGTGTATGTATGTCTTAATTGTGGGTCATAAAGGTCTGTTGTAAAATTTATGACTGGCCAAATGCCTGTCATTATCCTTTATGACATGGCTTTCAATGACAGACATTTGTCTGTTATGTATAGGCATTTACAACAGACAATGTCTGTCAAGGAAAGCCTTTTTTCTAGTAGTGTATATACATATGGGACTTTTATGATGTTCTAATATTATTGTTTATAAATGTCCTCTAGAATAAATATGATGGATGCACAGCCGCAACAACAATCACTACCATAGCCTGTGTAGAACCTTCGAGAAGAGGCTTAAAAACACTTTATTGGAGAAGGAATGAGACCACTTGATACCTACCTGCATCTGGACGGGGCTATATTGCAAATCTTCAAGGAGAGGGATAGCCACTTGGGCAGAGGAACTCCAGGTCTGTTAGACTTTAATGTCTCTTGAGAGTATTACTTATTTATGTTGTAATGGTTTAAATGTATTAGTTACTTCTATTTGCAGACAAAGTCAGAAAGGGGCGAGCTTGAAGCTTCTTAAGAGTCCTGACAAGAAACCTTAGTGGGAACAAGAGATAATCGGGTGATAACATCCTACTTTTAATGATATATGGTTAGTTATTAATATTTATAAGCTCATACTTTTAGTTTAATGATAGTTTGCTTAAGCTCATATATGGTTAGTTATTAGTATTTATAAGCTCATACTATTAGTATTAGTTACTTCTATTTGCAGACAAAATCAGTAATAGCATCCACCACTTTGCATTTTTCCAACAAATCATTATGATGTAATTTCCTGTATTAGAAAAATACCATGTTCTTGAATTTTGATTAAATTCAATTGTCATGTAATGATGGAAAAAACTCATTGTTTGTTGTATTTGTTTTGCAGATATGAGTGAGGATAGAGGATAAGAACTGCTATACTTGATGTTTGGGATAATCCTTCTATGATTGGATCATGGATGTTCTTTCTTTTAAAATTTTAATACAAGTTTTTATAATGTAGTAGCAACTTACCAAATTAATGTTTTTTGTGTGTGAGACTTGATTTTTCTTTGATATTCTTTTTATTGAAGCTTATTATGGTTGTGTACTTGTGTTATTTGGCATGTCCACATTTACAAAATATTTCATCCATGATTGGTAAGAACGGTGACAGTGGTGTTGGGTTTATAGAACTAATAAAAAATCATTTAAAAAAAGAAATAGCAAAAGGACCCAGTTGCATATAACAGAACAGGGCTATGAAATGGAAAAAGAGCGATATTTAGATTTTTGTAATAGGATCCGGTTTATGTTTGAAGACCGGGTTGTATGGCCACATAAAATCTATTACACTTATATGACCTGTTTGTTAAACCGAGTTCTATTAACTTTCTCACCTAAGACTTGCCTCACGTTAGACCCGGTTGCAAACCGGGTTATATTAGGCTTTTATCCGGGTTTTATGAGGTTTTTTGTAGCAGAATTGAAAAATCAAAGACCTCAAGGTTAATAATTACTTATTCTCATCCATTGACAAGAGCATTTTGAAGACTATACTTCAAAAGGAGACGGTTCGGGACGTTGGGAATCTATGAGGAGAAAGTACCAAGAAAGTTGAAGGATGGAGGCAACCTTAAGCATGATTGGAGTGTGTGGTTGTTTGAGGTTTATGCTGATGGTGTTGGTATATGCATGGAGGTTCTTCAATTGGGTATGACTTACCCCAAAGAATACAGAGAAGTCTCTAACTGAAGAGAACCTCGTACCAGTTTTTATATGGAGACGTGAAAGATATATTGAAGATGATAACCGAGTCGAGTTTAAATATCACATTTGTGTTTACTTATGAACATTGTGATTTGTATTCCCCATTGACTAAGGAGACCAATTGTGGGGACTACTACAGAACGCTATATAGGACTCGCCAATTAGGACCCGGTTTCTGAAAAAACCGGGATCTAAAAGGGGATAAGCAAAATGACTCGGTTCATTTTTAAAAACTGGGGTGTATGTTATATTTAAGTAACCCGGTTCCTAGCGTAACAACCGGGACTTTTTGTTGTATGGGTATATGACCCGGTCTTTAAAAAACAACCGAGTTCTATTAGTATTACTAAGAGACAATGCATGCGTTCTAGAAAACTATATGACCCATTTCAAAAAAAAAAAAACAGATCATTTGACTTTTTTTTTTTTTTTTTTTTATAAAAACTCCATACCTTTACTGTAAACAGTGGCCATATCACCCCTATCTTGATGTCCGAAACGCTCATTTATATTCTAATTAGTCAAGTTAATGCTTATATCTTGTTTCTTTTTTATATCAATTTTTTCGCATCTAGAACACAAGCAACCACTCATGTGATGATTATATTGCATATTGTATTATTATTTATATAGGCATCAGGTTTTTTTTTTTTTGAACAATTGATGTATAGACATCAGTTTACTTTCATGTATATATTACTTTTGCCCAATGGTGTAGAATTACATGAAAACATAGTCAAGTTCAATAAACTACATCAAATTAAGAATATATATTAAAAAGAAAAAGAATTGAACTTAGTTCACAAAAGATGTCCTCCGAGGCACTTTGATGGTTATAGATACAACACCAATTCTGCATCGGTTACCATCAATCCCTCCATTAATATTGTTGTAGCTGAAACGCAAAAACCGTAAACAAAGATCATAAACCCCACCTGTCAACAAGTAGATATATACATTTCAACATGTTTCATAATCTTGAGTTAAGTGAACATGGTTTGGTTACACATCAGGAATAGTCGGAGACATAATGTTGGGGAAAGGGTAAGGGCTATCTAAAATTGGAATCCCTAATTTATTATCATTTAAATCAATCAATAATGGAGAAGATCAACTTCACACAACCAAAAGGACCATGCACAACCGGGTCAAATATTTACCAAATATAGTTACGAGCTTAGACACTAATCCAACAGTCTCCCACTTGGATAATGTCACACCCCAAAACCAAGAACGGCGGAAACATTCAGGGGTGGAGGACGTCATGTAAAGTATCATAACAGTGCAAAGTAGTAAACAAGCAACAACATCATCCATTGCATTAAAAGTAAAGTTGTAATACATGAATGTTCTTTCATAGTAATAAGACACCAAAATATGTAATCAAAATAAAAGACGAGTCTTGTCTGTGCTCCGTCTTCTCAAAACCTGGTCATCGTACCTGTCTATTGGTGACCTGAGAATACAAGTTATTTTGAAAGTGTAGATCAGCATAAAGCTGGTGAATTCATAAGTATTTTAGTGTCATTGATTTGTAAAGCTGTTATGAAAGACTTGTAAATGTTTAATGAAACATTTAGTATAAGCGTGAAAACCCTAGAAAATCCCATATTTCCTACTAGTATAAAAGGTAGTCTTCTACCAAGACCCGAATGCTTTGAAGGTTTGCATCTTTGTATCAATGAAGGTTTTTCCCTTGAACAACTATTATTATAAAAATATAGTCTACCTTATCGTTTATGTGAATGTGTCACAAAATAAAAGTAATAGGGAAAATTATATAATCTTTGAAATCGTATCCTTTGGTACTAGGATAAACACGGCGTGGAAACTCGCCGAACAATACAACCGAGAACATCCGTCGATGAACAGGTCCCGCTGTAGCTAGCAGCCAGGTGTAGGATGGTCAGTCCCGTATAGTATATATATAGTATTTCTCTCAGTATAGATATAGTATTTCTCTCTGTATAACATGTAATAGCATCTCTTCATATAGTATCAAGTATACTTGTATAGACTCATGAATGAACTGACTCTTGTGTAATTCCTTGTACTAGGAATAGTAATTTGTATCTCCTAAACTATACCTATTATAGTTTACTGGAATATAGATTGAATGTCCAAGTAGGTTTATACACCCTTGCTACTCAAGAGTGTTGGAACTGAATCTAGAATGAAAGCTCTCATATCAATACATATATACATGAAACATAAGTGTATAGATATGGATTTTAACAATAAGTTGAAAAGGGTTTTGTAATACCTTTAAGAGTTTTCAACAATAAATAATAATGACCTGACGTCAGTTTATAAAATGATTCAAAAGTAGTTTGTTTGATAACAAAGTATAAAATAACTGAAAACCATTGCATTTAACACATTTTGAAGTATGTGAAATCAGTTGGTTGAAAACACAGTTATAAATCACATATGATTGATTCTATAACTTCCTGTTTTCTACTTGTATTCCCCCCCATGAAAGCATTTAAAATCATTTAAAAGATTGATTAAGGGGTATGAACTCACCAGTAGTGAGTGGTTTGGATGAACGGATGGTATAGGATGCTAAGTGTCAAATGAAGACTTGGACACACACAAGGATCCTAGTTAACATATAATCACACATATATGTATCCAATTAGTCATTTAAACAACTAATTAACCATGTTAAGACATCCTAGGACATGATTAACACTTTATTTAAGTGTTATAAGCACTAAGGATTGCGTTTAATAGTTGTAGGACCTTGCATTTGAGTTTAGGGTTCAAGGGTACACTCTTTTGGAGTTTACGGTTTTGTGACCAACTCGCTTGGAGTTTACGGTCGTAAAACCATGAGTTTACGGCCGTAAACTCATGGTACTTCCACCATTTTGTGTTTTGAAGCTTTACAAGTCATAAGAAGCATTCCTACTTCAAGTTTAAGCCTTTGAAAGTAATTAGGGCACCATTTCACTCCTTTGTGGAGTTTACGGTCCTTGGACCATTTCTCCTTGGGTTTACTGTCACACCCCCAAACCAGAACGGCGGAAACGTTCGGGGGCGGAGGACGTCATATTCAGTATCATAACATTTGCATAGTAAGGAAAGTACACACCACCAAATATATAAATATTTAAAAGTGTTTACATAATCGTAGTTGTTACATATTCAAAATATAAATACAATAATATGTTTCAAAAGAAGTCATTAACGCCAGAACGTTGATCCCCAAAAGATGATTTCCAAACCTGCTTAGCGGTTCCCTGAGAATACAAGTTATTTCAAAGAAAAAGTGTCAACAATTAAGTTGGTGAGTTCATAAGCGGTTTTGAGAAAATGTATGCCATTCCAAAGTTCGTGTGTTTTCCAAGAAAATCCCTTATTTTCTTATAAAGTATGAAATGCATATGAATGTTCGTTTTGTGAATTGTAAATAGTTGCCCCAGGAAAATCCCTTATTTTCCTATTAGTTGATTGTTTTAGATACAGGAAAATCCGTTATTTTCCTAAAGTAACAGGCAGTCTCTAAGACCGAAAATCGCAAGCAACCGACGTGCTTAAAGGTTGAGGCATAGTTTTATATAATAAAGCTATAAGAAGATCGCACTTGTTAGATGAAGAATAGTTTTAATAGCTACTCGTTCATAAAATCAGAATACCATAATAATTGTCTATCCGGTGAGTTTTATAACCATACTAAACATAATATGCCTGTGGCGACGGTCTTCAGGCGTCGAAACGTTTATGACAAACTGTCACCCAAAGGACTGTAGCTAACAGTCAGGGCGCGGGATCATGACTTCCCGTATAGATCTATACACATTTGACATGCTCTCCAAACGGGAGACTGTGGTTATAATAGACAGGACTTTAAGTTGTACCTTTTCGCAAAAAGGCAGCGTTGAAGATGTAAATGTCTCACGGGTTCTCAACTAAGTCTGTATTAAGGTGATAGTTTTGTATACCATGTTTATTCTCTTTTACAATGTTTGACTAAGCATAAATCTTAAGTTCTTTGAATGCATAAAATGGTTTAACAAGGATGGCTACCCTGAATACTATGCATTTTGTATAAACCTAGTGCATGCAAGATATAACAAGAGTTTTCACGTTTTCACTCGGGATTAACCGGGTGTTTACTTGTATTCTCCCCCGAAATGTATTAAAAGTACATTATAAAGTATTTGAAGGTGTATAAAAGGGGTATGAACTCACTTGATTGAAGTGGTTGCTTTGAAGTAGTCGAGAGAAGAATCGAGCAGAACTTCGACAGGAAAAGCTGAAAACGCAAGAAAACCTCGGGATTCTCGGGACTCTCGGGAGTGTAGAACTTCCTTCGGGACTTGAGTGTGAA